GGGGGGGGGGGGGGGGGGGGGGGGGGGGGGGGGGGGGGGGGGGGGGGGGGGGGGGGGGGGGGGGGGGGGGGGGGGGGGGGGGGGGGGGGGGGGGGGGGGGGGGGGGGGGGGGGGGGGGGGGGGGGGAGAGAGAGAGAGAAAAGGGAGCAAGTGTGTTTCGAAGCTGCAGATTAATATTGAGAAAAACAAAAATTACCGTTGCAATCTTTTACGGAGCATATAACGTAAATATGCATCGGTCCCAAAAGGGCTAATGCCCATGTACTTGCACATATTTACTAATCGAGACCTGATAACAGAAGGGAAAAAAACAAAGGGGATAGATTAGACATCAAAGAGAGAAGTTATCCGTACTAAACATATGAAACTAAATGAACTAATTAACATACAAGAGAATTTATAAATAGCAACCTGCTGATATTATCTAACGTGAGTTCATCATTGAACAGCTTGGCAAATCCTAAAATTTCCTCATTAGACACACGTGCACCAGTCCTCAACTGCAGGCACATATAATAGGGGTAACAAAAAATACTCAGTCAAGGAAAACTAGGAAAAGCAGCCTGTTAATTAATTACCCTGGTCAAAAACTCATCAAGATCTTCAGCTGTCTTCTTAATTTCTCCACTTCTCGAGTTTTGAACTTCTTTAGCCATTTCCTTGGCCGTGTCTTGAAGGAACTTAGCATACTCTATTCTTGCATTAAGCCTCCTTTTCAATGCTTCCTGCATGTTGAGCAAATTAAGAAGAAAAAATGTGTTGAAGGAACTGAGAAGAAGAACCACATGCCATATTCATTGTAAGCAAGTAAAAATACATTAGACAGGCCACAGACTTAATATATCAACAGAGAGAGTAAAGATCTCTTTATCTCTCCAGTTGGCATCATAAGAAAGTAAGTGTCTGGAGGTTTCAGGCACATACAAGGACAAGAAAAAAGAAATTACTTTATTCTCAAGCTCTCTCTCTCTCTCTCTCTCTCCCCCTCTCCCTCAAATTGAAATTATAAGAAAGAAAGCTAGATTGCAATGACCCTCCTCAACTCATTTACCTCTACATTTCAGGCTCTGACTTACATATTTTCTCCTCATACTGCGTCTTGGAGAAGAAGCGTCTCCCCACTAAATGAGTCACTCGTCCCTCCACTCTTACTCAACCCATGACTGAATTTTCTCATAAATTTGAAACCTTCCCATCCCTCCCCTCCATGTTCAAAACCTCCACCAACCTAGAGTCCTTAAACAATGAATGATTAAGCCACATATTCTTAAACCTCTTCCCCATATAAAAAACCAGAACAATGAAAATTGGCCAATAATCCACGCAAAAAAAAAAAAAAACAAACAAACAAATATTTGTGATGGTTTAGCAAGGATATCCAAACATACCGGTAAAATAAATAAAAGCTCGTTAGTGACCAATATATGTGTATATTGCTAACAGTTTATTAAATTTAGGCAAAATAGATACGTTGCAACAAACCACAAACAGCATGCATTTAAGGGTTACCTGTTCCTTCATCTTGTCTTGAAAAGTTGATGGTAACATGTTGGGAAATAATTTAAGAAAAACTGGCAGCAGAAATTCCATGAATGGAACTATGATAAAAACAGCAAAAGGAACCAATCTAAAGATATCGGCTGTGGTCCGAGTTAGCTGTTGTCTCTCCCGCCTTGAGAGATTCTTCCCACCAGCAAGTTTTTGAAGCAATCTTGAACTAATCCTCACATCAGCCCACAAAAGCTTGAAACCCAACCAGTAATGTTGTAAGGTTGATACAAATTCTTCTTTCCAGTGAACAAGCTTCTTTGCCCAGTCCTCCCTGAATGAATAAAAAAACCAGACCGTGTGCATTAGATCATATTTAAATTTACCATGAACAGACCACTTTTACATTAAATCACAAAAAAACAAAGTTAACCTGCTCATTGAAGCAACAGCCCTTAAAGCAGGACCTATCCCTATGACGATTGTCCATGCTCTTTGCAAAGAGGTGGCAACTATGCTTTGAGACTCTTGTAATCGTCTAGCCTTTGCTTTAGCTTTGGCAGTGCTCAGACCTTCCACAGCTTGATCACATTCCTCTGGAGATGCTTCCTTCCTCTTTTTAGCAACCAATTCATTGTTCTCCTCATCGTCACTGCCTAAATCAGGTTGTTTAGCCGCAGAAGTGGAAGCATTCCGAATGGACTGTGACATCAATCCAATTCCACAAGGAGTATAAACATTGAAATTCCCATGATCTGATATTGGAATGCTATAGCATATTTGCCTAAACTTCTGAACTCCCATAAAATTAAGCAATTCAGGTCTGATTCTATTTCCTATGCTATGGTTAGAAACAGCAGAGGGATCATCATTATTGGAAATAGAACCAAGTGAACCATCATTCTGACCAACATTCCCAGTCCACTGTAAACATCGAATTGTGCGTATATAGGAGTTCTCATAATGAGAAAAAAACCTCTTCCGTCTTAAAATTGCATTGGAAGCCATTATCACCAAACTGTACTGTCTTTATGAGCATGTATGCACGAACCTTTCTTGAGCAAGCTAACAGTCAGCTAAAAAAGAAACATCCAAAACTTCAAATTAGTGCACCATAACTAGAAATATTAAATACATAAAATTTCTCACATAAGAGTTTCCGTCAGAGTAGTTACTCCACGGCAAGCAACAAAAGCGGTATTCTTATT